TGCGAATAAGGAAGGTAGTCGCAAAAGAGAGTCTAACTCCCTGTACTTTTCTTACACTGCGAGAGAATGAACGGAGAAGTCGAAGATTTTTCAGCGAAACAAAGCTGCGAAGCCCGAGGCATCTCTCTGGACCTCTAAAGAGGCATACAGAACTCTTGTCTATTATTTACACGGCGTTCAACTTTGTGCTATTATGTTGCGCTACAATTGCTTTTTGTGTTCGTTTTAATACACGTTAAACACCGCGTTTAATGTCACCGGGGGTGGATGTCATCTTCCGCCCGCGTTCATTCCGGCAAAGGATAAATATTACGGCCGGAAAATGTTACATGCTACTTAATTTTTTTACAATCGTTGGTGTAACGCTCTTATTGCCGTTGGGATAAATTTGTTGCAAGTCTGCAAAAAAAAATACATTAAAACAAATCGCAATAAATTTATCATTATAAAAATAGATCTACAATATGCGCATACATGTGTACGAAAAGACATAAGTGCACATTACTTATTTTACATATTGATATATTTATGTTAAGCGCACATACACACATGGTACGTGTATGTGTGTGTTTGTGCATTGCTAAATTTAACTTGTGTAACATATTAATCCCAGTCTACAATAGATGATTTAAGCCCTAAGCTTTAAGAAATTGGCCAATCACGGTCAAGTATGAGTAGAATGCGCGACTGTGATTAGTCAATTTCTTAAGGCTTAGGGCTTAAATCTCTATTGTAGACTGGGACTTACGGTTGTAAGTACATTTCTGTAAATACGAAGTTTCTTTACAAAAAAGTACTGCATTAATAGACTCTAATTAACGTTCCACGGTGGGATACAAAATCATAGTCGGGACATTGTATATTTATGCAGGGAGAATTCTGGAAAGCTTGAAAAAAACATAAAAGATAAATAAAACAAATCCATATAATACGTGCGTAGAAACCTATATCGTGCGTGTAAAAGAACGAAGAGTAAAAATTAGAAATAGAAAGAACGCGGCGATAGGAAGACAAAGGGGGGAAAGAGCTGAATGGAGAAATGGAAGAAGAATTTTTTTTTAAATGGCTCAATTTTGATTAAAGATCGACCACGAAACGTTAGAGACTTTTGAAAAAACACTTTCCGACGTTATCGGGAACGTCGTCGAGGATCAGAAATTTCCACCCTTTCCATTTACCACCACCTCTTGGCAGTAGTCGCCTACCCCAAGCTCGCCGCCACCTACCTACAGTTGAATTGGCGGTGTTGGAAGTCACGGCGGGTTTGCGAGAAGAGTCGACCTTAAGCAGAATGGTTTTAAGGGCGTATATCCACGCTCGCTCACCATCGGAGTGAGTTATAAATCGATTTGTGCCCCGGCCAATGAGGGTTGGAAGTGGCGTGTTCTGATTGGCCGGTATCCAGACCACTCCCACAGTGTTAATAAAGGCTCCGAGCGCAAGCCGGTTTCACAATGCCACAATTGTTGCTTTGCAAAATATAGATCAACGATGCTATAGAATATTCAGATCTATTCTTTTTTTTTTACGTTCCGAAGATAAAACGCCTGCGTAATTCTAATACGACAGTATTTATACGTGTATTAATGTAAATAAAGTAAAGTGTACTTTTTGTAGACATAATTTTAATACGTAGCGCAAATATAAGATAATTATTTACTGTGACTTAAATTTAGTTGAAAGAAAGATTTTATGCGATTAAAGCATTATTACTTAGCGTATCTAACGTATTCGTAGATTAGTGTAGCGATATTGCGTTATTGTTTGCACTGTTCTATTTATCTACTTGATAAAAAATAAATAATATTATAAATTGTGAGTATTAGACTGTTTTATATTTTTACGATATTAAGTAATAGTATAAAATAAATAGTATTAAACGATTAAAATTAATTTTATGTAAATACGATGGACTGCAGAAGGTGAGTAGAATTATACGTATATTGTAAAATTAAACGGGTATCTATTGGATGTAAAAGTCAAAGTTACAAATCGTAAATCTGTGTAAAAGAGTTAAAAAATGATTTGTTGTTGAAATAAAGAGCAAGGAAACGGTTTCATTTTTGAAAGAGAAGTTTGGATAAAGGGTCGCACCGAAGTTGACGTGTTACGCACGTATGAAAAGTGCCTTTAAAATGAAACGTATTACAATCATTTGATATTCGTAATTGTAGTATTACTGATGAATTATTTAACAATAGAAACGAGAGAGCGTACATTTATAATTACCTGGAAATACCGATAGCTTATGATATAATGGCAGTACAATGAATTCAATATGATCCACATCATTTTCAGCTCATGTTATCAATTAATTAAATAAACAATTTCGTTACATCATGAATTCATAATCTAATAAATCTAACCATTATCAGACCTGCGCTGTAATAACGAATTAATAAATTATTTGTCTGTCCGACGTGACACGCTCTATTAAGAATTTGACGGGTGTCTCTTTCAGTGCGTCACTGTACATGCGTACGAAAAGTCAGAGTGGGTGGGGTAAACAATTGTATTTTACTTTCTCACAAAATTTTATATTAGAAATATGGAAGAGAGATACCACTTACCTCACCGATGTATGCTGTCGATATTATAAAGTCACTCTCTCATAGCTTAATCATATCTGCTTTGTGCAACATTAACGGGACAAAAGTCAATAAATATTTAACGTGGATGTGCTCTCATAAAAAGATAATAAAAATAATAACAATGGAAGAAGTAAGATTGAAGAAGAATATCACACAAGTCACAGACAGGCTCTTATGCATGTACCAGGTTGTGACGTTTATTCACGGCTGCCTGGCATCGCTCGTGCTCTCCCAAGTATCCATGATCGAGCACGAAAAGTTCCTCTTTTCTCCATGGTGAACCGCTCCGCCGTAGGCGTAGCCATGTCGAGGCGTCGACGTTGCTAGACCCCACCTTCTCGTTGGTAACTAGGGCTATGTCTACTCGGCTGGCCGTCTCAAAAAGCCGACCAATCCGCGATACGAGACGGCCACTGCCAACGCATAAAGTAGCGGAGGCGCCTTTGTCGCCTGGGTCTACGAGGGGTCGCAGAACGGAGGGCAAAAGAGGGAGAGATGGGGGAGCGAGTCGGCGGGCATAGAGGTAGAGAGGGGCCAGGCGCGAGTTGACGAGTTGTGCGCGCGGATGGGGCAAACACCACCCTCTGCGCGTAAAGGATACGTGTATGGGTGCATGTAGTATTCGTACAGCCGCCTCCGGGGGTTTCCCTTCTTCGTACCCGTCGCGCACCCGTCAAGCAACCCCGCGTTATTCGACGGCTCAGTTGTCCAACGCCGCGACGACGACACGGTTGCGCCACGACAGCAGATACACGAGAGCTGCTCTCTTTCTCTCTCACTGGGACCATTCCTCGACGTCCTATCTACACCTACGTCTTCGTCATCGCGCCTCTCACGAGTCACGCTTCTCAAAGTCGCGGCCGGGTGGTTAAACTGAACGAGTTCTTTGCGCGCGATCCGTCAACGGCGAGAGATTTGGAAACCTCGGACGAGCCCACACCGCTAAAATGCGACACCCGAATATCACTCCGCGACTCGAGAGGCCCAATTTGATTTAACCGTTTGACATCGACTGCCGACGGTGGACCATACCCTCGTGTGGATGTAGGCGCGATACAAGCGCTGAGGACAACGGAAATGCATACGAGACACGTATCGGCTGACGCATTCTGCCGTGGAGGCTGAGCAATTCTGCCCCAAGTCTCGGAGCAACATCCGCCGCTTCCATCATTTTGTTCGTACGTTTCCCGCAAAATCAATAGTCGTCGGGTTTTGGTGCTTTAGTATCATTCTAGTTTCTCTCCGGCCTGAGGAATGAAGTTCCGTCAGAGTTGCTTTTGAAATCAGTCCTCTCTCGAAGGGAGCAACGATTCCGCGGGGAATGGACCAATTTGCTCAAGCTTGTATGTGCTTTCCACGAGTGAAACTAGGCGCGGCATTTTCAACGTGTGTTGTTTAGTGTTTATGCGCAAGGAGAGAACGCAACGTTACGAGTTACGCCGGGGAGAGAAGCTTCGCGTGTACGCGCAACGAAACAGTGTCGCAATAAGCAACAAGCAGAACAATCTGTACCTGATCACAACGAAAAACGTTTGCCCCATCGAAGTGAAGGATAGAGGAACGAGTGAAAGCCACAAGGGTTGTGATTTGAGCGAAAGTAAGTAGGACTCGCGGCGCTTCGTACGAGGAGAAATGTATCATCCATCTTGCCGACGGTTATCAAATGTTGAATGATCGTTCGCCAGCGACATCCTTCATTTTTTACAACGAAGATAGATCACAGTCTGTCGTCACTCAGCACGCTGATATAAGTACGCTGCAAATATTTATTATGAAATTTTAGTCCCGGTAGACACGTACGTGTAGAAAATATTTAAAGCTTGCTAGATGTTTGGGGCTTCTCTTACGGCAATCGCGCGCAACGTGATTGTAAATCCGAATCCTGTTAAACGGCCTTACAACGAAGACGTAAGATTTCGGCAAAGCATGCCCGCACGGAAATAATCGCCGGAAGCAGCGAGTGATGGTCAGGGCCTACGAGATTTGAGAATGCTACTTCGTTAATGCCGACAGCTTCGTGAAGAGTTGCGCTAGGGATAATAATGATACTAGTCCTGTAACGCAGATTCGAAATTTTGCAGTGTTTCCTGCTGGTTTCTGTGTTGAAATTTGAGAAGTCTAGTTGGCTATCCAAGAAATATACAACGATTCTTTTCGATTGAGTTCCTAAACGCGTCGGAAGGAGAATCTTCCGCGGAAACAGAGCAACGATCAATCTGAAAGACCTAATCGCGCGCTACGCGGTCAAACAATTAAAACCACGGTGGCTAAGCCGACGGTTGACGAGCCGATAAGCCCCCGAATGCACACTGATTCTATATTCGTCCGCAGCGTCTTTACATTCCCATTGCCAGGCTTGTGGAACGACGATCAATGGTCACCGCGTTCCTGTGAGCACGCGATCGAGTATGTCGCTCTAAGCTCGTGCGATATCAGTTAAAAAGGACACGAAGATGCCGCAGCAGCAGCAACGGTCGGCTTTCGCGATTCAGGAGCTGTTGGGCTTGGACGGTACCGGAAACAGAAGCGGCACCGATCGCGGCTCGCCGCAGGGCTCGCCGCCCGCCGGAGTCTCGGCCGTTTCCTACGCCCCGGCTGCGCCTCATCACTCGAAACTATGGGAGTACATGCCCAGCCTAAATCATTTAGGCAACTTGGGGAATCTGGGAAATCTGGGGAATCTGGGCAACCTTACGGCCTCGAGGATGGCCTATCTGAATGCGCAGGCAGCCGTGGCAGCCGCCTTTCTACCGCCACCCCACCCCCACCCGGCCCACCATGTACCGCACCATCAGGTACATCAATCAGGCCAACTTCCGGCTTCGCCGCCCGGCGTCAACCTGCATCCCGCGGCACACGCGCAGCACGTACTTCCTGGTACGGCTGTTACCACCAATCATCATCAGCACAGCCCGACTCAGCATACGCCGCCTCATGGTAAGTCGACGATTTCGAGTTTCGGCGAAAACAATAAGAAAGATGAGAAAAGAAAATTTTGTACCATTGAGTTTCGCCTGTGAAACAAAATACTTGAGTCAAATATTTTGTAACATAGAATACCGCTAGGTGTCTCGAGAAACGTTTCTCCCATGGTTACATATAATTTATAAGACGTATATGCAACCGCATATTAAACAAGTAAATTTGTAACTGCTGAAAAGTAGAGAGAGAGAGAGAGAGAGAGAGAGAGAGAGAGAGAGAGAGAGAGAGAGAGGAGAGAGAGAATTTCTTTCACTCGTTTCCCCTGAAAGTCTTTGTTTCTTTGACTCACGATCTTCAAACAATGTTCAATTATCGACACGCACACGCACATTCGTCTAAATGTGCGCCGCAAACTATTCGCTAACAGTGAACGAGATTGAACTTATGACCCTTTATTTTCGCCAATACCGAAGTAAATTAATAGGCGTATCGTCGTTCTAGCGTGAAACGAGCACTTAACTGCCACTTATAGCTATCATTTAACAGAGGAGCCACTCAAGATCAGGTTACCGAAAATTGACACGCCTTTGTCGCACATCATCGTCAACATTGTATGTGCCAAGAGTCTGGGGGAATTTTTGGGAAAACGGCATTCGATCGGGCAGCTGCATAGCTGTCTTATATTTTCAATGCACACAAGCACTAGTCGAGCACACTCGAGTGCCCATCACTCGATCCGGGCGGAAACTTTTATTTATCGGACACATGTTGATTTGTCATTGAATTAGGCATAAATTCTCCCACACACTTGCCGGTCCAAATGTGTCGAACTTATAGCATTCGCTATAATTTGGAACGCCAACAAATAATTGACGTGCGCAAGGAAACTTCTAGTTTTTTTTATATCTAATATAATATTGGTCCTTCCCGCATTTAATTAAATGTAACTTTGGCAAAGATCCCCGGCAGCGCACGCAATTAACGAAATCCTCAATGCAATGTCTGCAATGGGAAGGGACAAAGAGAAATGGGCTGTGGGAATTGATTATTTTCATCAGAATACCCCGAAACGTTATGAATAATTAGTGATATAATGAGTTGAGTGTCAGGCGGGTCTGCAATGTCTCACCAAAACACAAAGAGCGTCGACAAAACTGGCTGTCCACTATTGAACTGTTCTCAACCTGTTGTCGATGCGACATTGGTACTTCAGCCGCAACACCGATATTCTCGAAACACGTGCATGTAACGAAACGTTAAATACCTTACTCGTTTCTTAGCGCTTACAAATCTGATTACAAAGATTGAATAATAAAGATGGAAACGTTAAAACTAAATTACAGATTCGTGTGCATTACTGCATCGCTCTTCTCACTTATTGCATGCACACAATATTGTTTCGTGCGTAATAATATAATAAAGACAGCATAAAACTCACATGTCTGAGTGTTAAAAAAAATATACAGAATAAACAGAAATAGTTTGACAAGGCAATGCACAGGGTGTAAAAATGTATTTCAACGTTTATATATTGATTATTAATGTTTCTATAAGTTTAAATGTATTCAGTGAATTTAACGTGTATAGAGAATTACTCTTTTTAAATGCACGCAAGGCGTATTGCAGTATGTACATGCATATGTATATATGTACGCGTATTCATTTACAAAAATTGTCTTGTTACAAAAAGTCATTGTACTATTATGTTATTAGTAAAACGTACACGCAATTGATTTCACCGAATTACTTTAGTGCGATATCATGCCATTAATTTTAAGCATTGGAGATTTCGCGGCGCAGGACAAATTTTGAGAACGATTTTCGGGTGTCGGATTCCAGATAGAGCACAAAGGCTCTGCCGTTCCATTCAAATGTCACTCTAGCACCTACTCTCACAGCATTTATTCGGTGTGCTCCGTTTGTTCGTTTTTGTCTTAAAACGTATGTAGACTTAAAGACGAGAGCACGGAATGAAATCGCGCTACCGTTATATTAATCTGTCTATTTCTTTTTAATATATATATACATATATAACAATTACATCTAGGTTTGTTCAAACCGCAATCTCAAATCCACAGGACAAAATCCATACAGATTTACGCCTTCGTCGTACATTTTTATTAGTTCATCTAAAATACTCATTAACTTGTTTTGCTCTGTAAAATGGGTGGATTACATAAGTAGACATTATACATAAACTTTGAAAAAGAAATCAGAATCATAGTAAGAAGTTCAAACATATAAGACCAATTTCCTTAATTAAAGAATAATCTTACTAGTGTTTATTTAATTTAGTTGAACTATTTTCTTATCTCTTTATATATTTCAGAAAAAATCCAGGAAGAGACTAGCAATAATTTAGATATAACGTTAATGTATAGAGTTAAGCGTACAAATTTTTAATAATCGCGCACAATTTATGTGTATAATTCGTATAAGTGAAAATTATAATAAAATGAAAACGTTGCCTTTTTCTGTCTCGTTATGAGACTCGCACTGGTCAACTTATACTTTGTAATATTAGTAAAAATATTTCACGATGAATAAAATCGATAACAACATTGATAGTCATGTAGTGTTGAATCACAATCAGCTCAGAAAGAGAAAGGGGGGGGGGAGGGGGAAACGGAAGGAAGAATTTGCGTTTAGAAAAAGAAGCTGTGCAGTGATAATACCGACAAAAAATACAAAAAGAAGAAAGAGGCACAGACATATATTACGCGACGGAAAGAGGAAGAAAATACAAGGGGGAAGGGAAGTGCGTGAGCGGGCTTCTCAGGCGTTGGATAGGCAATTTAGTTGATTGCCGACTTCAAACGATCCGAAAAAAGCAGCTTTCAGTTGCGACGCAACGCTTAGAGAGCCAAAGGTGCGAATCAAACGATTGCGAAGCTCAAAATTTACGAAACAACACATTTTGTTTTCTCTTCTGTACGACGCTCTTGCCAGATCCTTTTTTACAACCCGATTATCTATTCGTGTAGGAAAATGGTTTTCCGGCTGTTCTTTCGTTTTGCCGGTTCGGTGTTAACGTCGATGTGAGATTCGTACGCAAAAATGTGCGACGGTGTGCTCGATTAGAAAATCTCTGACAAATCAGCGGGTGGCAAATTTGTCAATGAACTTTGTTTCCAAAAGAGAAGTATCGCGCGCCCCAACTTATAAGAGACTCGCGACAACGATTACGTTTGCATACATTTGTACGCGTAAACGCGCGATTCTTTTGCACGATCACGTGTAAGTGGCTTGCGATGTAAATTAGCTCACTCATAGTAAAATCGATACAAAACGGTAGTTTTGCATTGTCGTGAAAGTAATGCTCGATCGACGGTGAGAATACGTTGTCAATTTTCACAAATTCAAAGTGCACGATTGTTCTGCTTTATAAAACGATATAAAATGATATAAATTTATACAACAAGTAATATATATATAATGTAGTATTGTAGAATATACTTTTTCAATTCTACAAAAGGCAATTTTCAAAAATTTATGTATTTTACGCTTGGTTTCTAACTAACTTTTGAACATTTTGTGTAGAATGCAACACGAAAATTTTGAAATATGTATTATTAATTAATACTTTGATAAATTAATGATTACGGCGATTTAACGCAAATTTAACGTATCTTAAAACTGTATTCGAAGTTTTATAAGAAGTACAGTTTTAACAAAGAGAAAAGGAGAAATTTATTCAATTAATGCATGAAAATCGGAGGAATTTGAAGTTGCAGAGCGCGACAGTTCTTTTCGAAATTACAGCATTTCGAAAAGAAAATAAATGGCATTGACGCTGTAACGGGTACCTTTCATTTTTGATATAATTCAAATATATTCCGAGAGCTTTTTTCATTGGTTTATTTCGCCGGAAAATGCAACGCAGTCGTGGCGCTTAGCCCAGCTTATGCAATTGCGAATGCAAATTAAACGAAATTAAACAGTTAATTAAAGTGCTGGCGCCCCCAGAGAAGTTAATTGAGATTCTTGGGAGATTTGTCGCGCGGAATGTCTTAATTTAGTCCCTTAAGCGCCCTAACTCGCCTTAACAACTTAGAATAATTGGATAACACTGCCGAGGCGCACTCACCGCTAGGAGGAAAATTTAGTCTTCCAGCACGGACGTCTTCTTTTTTAAACGCGTCGCAATTCACGTTATGCGTTGAAAGTAATTCTGTTGGTTTTTCCGTAGGAAAAATTTTCAGTTGTCAGTTTGCGCTTTTTGCGTGATTGAAAAAACGCAACGAATTTTTACATAAACTACGAACGAACTACGAAAAAATTTTACTTTATTGCATTCTCTTTTTTTTCCCCCGCTAAAAATGATGAATCGAATTTTCTGGTCCAAAAACGTTTAAAAAAAAATCCTCATTTTTAATACAACAGAGATGATAATCCTATTTTTATTAGTCAAGATTAATGAATCGAAATAACTTTTTACCTGCTAGGTATTACTATCTAATAAAGAAGATTAGATTGTAATTATATATATATTTTTTCAACTTATTTTCCTGCAAATTTTATTATATACACGAGATATCTTATCGTCTTCTTCATTTGATTTCACAAACATTTATTCTTTTATCTTATGTGACACGATTGTATTTTGTGTCCATGTTATGAGTTGAATAAAAATAATAAAATTTGCGCATATATGAATCCATAATGTTAAAATTATTTTAACAATAACGTTTGTAGTTTGTTGTTTTATTTTCCCAATTCTCATATAACGAAAGCAAAAACTCCGTGCACATTTTGCGCATTTTAATGATTACATTTTAATTTGCGGCGTATATTTTTACCATATGTTATATTTTAATTATTTTAATTTTGATAATAATTAAAAGAAAATAATTAAAACATTACACGTGTGTATATTTATGAAATGTACATATTAAAATCAATGCTGCGTAAGGTGGTAGTAGAAAATTTGTTTCGAAATGTCAAGAATTATTTATCATATTTTCATTGATGCTAACAATAAGCAGTCGCACAATTTTCATGCATCCATAAAATAC